GCAGGTTTGGACAGCTTTTTTTCCCTTAATAAATGAAATCATCATTTCAAAACTGTATTTTGTATTTACTTGGGTTATCTTTGTGTAATATTAAAATTTGCTTAATGATCTGAATCTTTTAAGTGACAAATATGCAAAAAAAAAACAAAAACAGAAAGGGGGCAAAAAAACTTTTCACGGCACTATATATATATAAAACACACACTAATACATATATGTACATACATTTCCATTACATTTACATTTAGTCATTTAGCAGACACTTTTATCCAAAGCGACTTACAAATGAGGACAATAAAAGCAGTCAAAACCAACAAAAGAGCAATAATATGCAAAGATAATTATAATATATAAAATAATATAATTATATGTTTTTAATTATATAATAAATAAAAAGAAAACAAGTAGATAGAATAGAAAAAGAACAGAGAAAGCTAGTGTTAGAGGCCTTTTCTTTAAAGAAAACAAGCAGTTAGAAAATGAATAGAGAGTGCAAGTGTTAGAAGTCTTTTTATAAATAATAATACAAAATATATATAAATAAAATAGAATCAGAGTAGAGAGTGCTAGAGTTAGAGGGTCAAATAAAGATGGAAGATATATGTTTTTAGTCGATTCTTGAAGATGGCTAAGGGCTCAGCTGCTCGAATTGATCTGGGCAGGTCATTCCACCAGGAGGGAACATTTAATGTAAAAGTCAGTGAAAGTGATTTTGTGCCTCTTTGAGATGGTGTGATGTGCATTCTTTTCGGCTCGTTAAAGACTAATCTTGCAGACTAATCTTATATGTATAGGCTAATTTTTTTTATTTTTTTTTTATCTAATATTGCATTACTTGTTGATTTTAATTTTATTTTTTTATTTTTCAGGTTCATTTCAGCCTTCCAATGACATGATGCTGAAATTTTATAGCTACTACAAGCAAGCAACACAAGGCCCCTGCAACATTCCCCGTCCAGGATTCTGGGACCCTATTGGCAAAGCCAAATGGTATTGAACCTGCTAAATGTCTAGATTAGTGAATTTATATTAAAAAAAAGTTTAATTATAAGTGTTTGTAGTTCTTAAAGGTGAAGTGTATTTTTTCCCCACTATTAAAATAGTCTCTCATATCCCAGTTTAATAAAAGCTGTTGACATTCTAAAGAGTGCAAACAGTGCGAGCATTTTCAAAACATTGCTCTGTTTGCACTCTCATGTTAGATTATGGCTCAACTAATGGTGTGAGTTTGGGGATGGACTACTTGTTCAGCCAATGGCAGACAGGGGTAGTGTTTAAAAAATCAGTTTGAAAACTCTCAATATTTTTGCAGTACCATTTCTTGCCAGTGGTGATGCAAAATGACAGACTTCCCCTTTAAATGAGTTTACACCATTTAGACCAGTGTCTGTAACCTAGTGAAAATGAACTGTTGAGTTCACTGAGATACCAGATCGGTATCAGTATCACATCAGGTTTGTATTATTAGTAACTAGTGCCACAGAAAGTTCTGCATTTGTACTTCTGCAAAAATCTATTTTAAAATCCTTGTTGAAAGCCTTTAATGTAACCGTGAATCAGATGAGTAAGAAAAACAGTTTTCCACACAGACCGTTTTACTGTGCTTCATGCTATTTTTGTTTGTCTCTCTTTTATATATGCATCTGAGAGTTGTTTTGAAATGTGCAAACCGCTGCTAGAGTTTCAGTTGATGGTGAGATGACAACAGCAGTGTTGACAAGCTTATGAGAGCAAAGTTCTCACTGACCCGTCCTGCTGCTTGTGTTTAGGGATGCGTGGAATTCTCTTGGGGAAATGCCGAAGGAGGAGGCGATGGCGGCCTATGTGGAAGATTTGAAACTGGTATAATGTTTTGGATTTTTTAGCAGTTTCAAAATGTGGTATGATTTAATGTAATGTTTTGTGTAAATTTGTTTTAAATTTGCTGAATAGATTCTGGAAAGTATGCCTGTAACAAATGAGGTCGAGGAGCTTCTGCAGGTCATTGGACCGTTCTATGAGCTCATTGATGAAAAGAAGAAGATATTGCAAGTGTCAGATTTGAGCACAGGTAAACTGAACAACAGTGCCCTCTCGGGTGAATCTCACAAAAAAAAAGAAAGAAAAAAAAAGCATTTTGCCCAACAAAAATCTTGTTTTTTTGTAAAATAAATTGCTAAGTATAATAATAATTTGACAATTTGAATAAATTCCACACATTTTAACATGAGAATTTTTAAGGGAATATATATATTAGGGCTTATATTATATATTATAATATTAGGGCTGTCAGTTTAACACATTAAATTACGCAATTAAAATATTTTAACGCAGTTTACGCACTGGCCCCACCCCCAGACCTGTACGTCATTGTAATGTACATCAACTTACATTTCATACAGTTGACTGTTGACAAATATGATGCAGGGCAACAACACTATAAATATAGTTATGCCCTAAAATTCAAGATATGTGGCAAAAATGCCCCTGTATGAGTTTTTGTTTCATATTTATATCACAT